CTCAGGATGAACTGAAACAGAAAAATGTGTTGGAACCAAGAGATTGTAGTGAAAACCAGAAGATAAAAAACATTTCATCAACGGAAATGAAAATGAAATCAAGACTTTACATTTGAAAAAAAATAACTAGAATTAAGTGCTCAGTGGATCCAGACCGCTCAGGTACGGTCCGGTACTCCGCCCCTTCTGGAGGTCGGCTCAGATCTGACCAGTGGTCAGACTGAGCCGATCCAGGCTGAACGGTTTCTGGTCGGGTTCTGATGGTGAGCAGCAGACCGGAGATCACTGATTCTGTTCTGAGTTCAGCTGATGGTTAGAGATTTGAAATATCAGAACCAGAACCAGACCTGGAACCTTCTCTGGGTTTTTAAAGAGGATTTTTTTTATCAGGATGTTCAGGAAACTCCTGCAGCTTGGTAACTGGTTTCCACCAACTTGTCATTATTTTAAAGATTCCTATTAGAAAAGTTTGATTTAAACAATAAAATTGAAAATAATGATGTCATCTTGAGGGGATTTCTGGCTTTTCAAATGGAAACATATTTACTGAAGTTCCCACTGCTAGTCAAATCTTTACCAGAGGCACCAAACTCTACTTCCTGTTTGTTACTTCCTGTTTATCGCAGCCATGCGAAGCAACAACATCCTTCTGGTTTATTGGCTCCCTCTGGAACCGGTCCGGTCGGGACCAGCTCCAGATTTATTTAAATCAACCGATATATTTGTTTCTGAAATCAGATAGATTTTTCTCTAAAGATCACAAAAAACATAAAATTGTTATTATAATAATTTCATAATGATAATGATCATAAATAATTTGCCATGCACAAGTCTGTACTTTAACTGGACCGCTGCAGAACATGGTGTGCCCATCTGTCCAGGTGATGCAGGTGGTGAAGGAGCAGATCACCCGGACGCTGAGCAGCAAGCCCACATCGCTGGAGCTGTTCAAGAACAAAGTCAACGCCCTGAACTACAGCGAGATCCTGAAGCTGCGGCAAACGGAGCGGCTGCACCAGGAGGAGACGCTTGCGCCGCCTGTCCTGTCAGTCCCCGCAGCATCACACCACAGCGTAACACTGCAGCATCACATTGCAGCATCACACCACAGCGTAACACTGCAGCATCACATTGCAGCATCACACCACAGTGTAACACCGCAGCATCACATTGCAGCATCACACCACAGCGTAACACTGCAGCATCACATTGCAGCATCACACCACAGTGTAACACCGCAGCATCACATTGCAGCATCACACCACAGCGTAACACTGCAGCATCACATTGCAGCATCACACCACAGCGTAACACTGCAGCATCACATTGCAGCATCACACCACAGTGTAACACCGCAGCATCACATTGCAGCATCACACCACAGCGTAACACTGCAGCATCACATTGCAGCATCACACCACAGTGTAACACCGCAGCATCACATTGCAGCATCACACCACAGCGTAACACTGCAGCATCACATTGCAGCATCACACCACAGTGTAACACCGCAGCATCACATTGCAGCATCACACCACAGCGTAACACTGCAGCATCACATTGCAGCATCACACCACAGCGTAACACTGCAGCATCACATTGCAGCATCACACCACAGTGTAACACCGCAGCATCACATTGCAGCATCACACCACAGCGTAACACCGCAGCATCACATTGCAGCATCACACCACAGCGTAACACTGCAGCATCACATTGCAGCATCACACCACAGTGTAACACCGCAGCATCACATTGCAGCATCACACCACAGCGTAACACCGCAGCATCACATTGCAGCATCACACCACAGCGTAACACTGCAGCATCACATTGCAGCATCACACCACAGTGTAACACCGCAGCATCACATTGCAGCATCACACCACAGCGTAACACTGCAGCATCACATTGCAGCATCACACCACAGCGTAACACTGCAGCATCACATTGCAGCATCACACCACAGTGTAACACCGCAGCATCACATTGCAGCATCACACCACAGCGTAACACCGCAGCATCACATTGCAGCATCACACCACAGCGTAACACTGCAGCATCACATTGCAGCATCACACCACAGTGTAACACCGCAGCATCACATTGCAGCATCACACCACAGCGTAACACCGCAGCATCACATTGCAGCATCACACCACAGCGTAACACTGCAGCATCACATTGCAGCATCACACCACAGTGTAACACCGCAGCATCACATTGCAGCATCACACCACAGCGTAACACCGCAGCATCACATTGCAGCATCACACCACAGTCTAACACCGCAGCATCACATTGCAGCATCACACCACAGCGTAACACTGCAGCATCACATTGCAGCATCACACCACAGTGCAACACCGCAGCATCACATTGCAGCATCACACCACAGTGTAACACCGCAGCATCACATTGCAGCATCACACCACAGCGTAACACTGCAGCATCACATTGCAGCATCACACCACAGTCTAACACCGCAGCATCACATTGCAGCATCACACCACAGCGTAACACTGCAGCATCACATTGCAGCATCACACCACAGCGTAACACCGCAGCATCACATTGCAGCATCACACCACAGTCTAACACCGCAGCATCACATTGCAGCATCACACCACAGCGTAACACTGCAGCATCACATTGCAGCATCACACCACAGTGTAACACCGCAGCATCACATTGCAGCATCACACCACAGTGTAACACTGCAGCATCACACAGCGGCATCACACCGCAGCGTCACACAGTGGCGTAACATCATGGCATCACACCGCAGTGTAACAGCTGTGTTAAAGGTGTTTTGTGCTGCGTTTTGTGCTGCAGAGAGCTGAAGGAGCGCCTGAAGCCGGAGCTGCTGGAGCTGATCCGCCAGCAGAGACTCAACCGGCTCTGCCAGGGAACCATGTTCAGGAAGCTCAGCAGCCGGCGACGGCAGGGTGGGTGGAGCCTGCTGCGGCGCCGCGTGGCCTTCAGTCGATTCGTACTAATGAGCGTTTCCTCTGCTGCGCTCAGACAAACTGTGGTACTGCCGCCTGTCGCCCAATCACAAGATGCTGCACTACGGCGACGTGGAGGAAGACGCAGAGAACCCGGCCATCGAGACGCTGCAGGACAAGAGTGAGTCCAGCTGCTGCCGTGAGCCGCAGCAGGTCAGGATGCGGCTGGAGGATGATCACCAGCTGCTGCCGACTGCCAGAGCTACACATAAAATATGACTGAGTCAGAAGTTTACATACACCGGCTTGAAGTTCAAGCACAACCAAACTTCTCACCAGATGACTGGTGTCTGATGATCCGGCCTCTTGCATCATAATAAGGGCCAGGAATCAAAATCACCCACTCACTGTAAAAAGCAGACACTTTTCCTTTCCTATAAAAATGACAGAAATATTCTCCGAGCTGACTTCATACAAAAATTTATACATAAACATTAATTTTATGGTTGACAAACAGTTTTTTCTAACCAATCATCAACCAGCAGGAGTGACCCAGAAAACAAGAGCTCCACCGTTAGCATAACCTTGGATCAATAACATGAATTATTTAGCACATAATAAATTAATCTAATTCTTAATAGGTTGCAACACTCCAATTTTAACCAATGAGGGACAACCAAGATGATGATGTCACAGCTTTGGAGGCTTTTCTGCTATTCTGAAATTCTAGATTTAAGGACCTATTTACTGGATTGAATTGATGGGTTTGTGCTGGATGCGGCGCGTCATGTGACGCCCTGCAGGCCGTTTCATTGGCCGTTTCCTCTGCCTCTCCCTGCAGTCCCAGTGGCGGATATCAAAGGTTTGCTGACTGGGAAGGACTGTCCTCACATGAAGGAGAACAAGGGCAAGCAGACCAAGGTCAGTCTGCTTCTTCTTCTCTGGTTTCCCTGCCATCAGACGGTGCGTTAAAGCCGTCGTCTTCTTCTGCTGCAGGAAGTCCTGGATTTGGCCTTCAGCATCACCTATGATGTGGAGGAATGCAGCCTGAACTTCATCGCCCCCTCCAGGACAGACGTGAGTATGACCCAGCCTGGTTGCGCTGCCCGCGCCCCCTGCTGGTGCTGACGTGTCCGTTCTGTCAGTTCTGCCTGTGGACGGACGGACTGAGCGTCCTGCTGGGCCGGGACATGAGCAGCGAGTCGATGCGCAGCGAGCTGGAGATCCTGCTGTCCATGGAGATCAAGCTCCGCCTCCTGGACCTGGAGAACGTCCCCATCCCCGACAGCGCCCCCGCCGTGCCCAAACCGCCCAGCAACTACAACTTCTGCTACGACTTCAGCCAGACGGAGCAGTAGGCCGGCTCTGGACGGGTTCTGGCTCTGGACGGGTTCTGGCTCGTCCATCCCAGGTCTTCTTTTCTGACAAATTTTAGCTCTTTATTGAGGGCGGTTCTGTTGAACCGATCCAGATCTTCCTGCAGAACCAGTTTGAATTCAGAAAGCAGCAGCTGGCCCGTTTCCAGCTGCCAGGAGACTCTGGTACTTCCTAGTTATTTCTGTTATTCCTGGTTTTCCTAGTTATTCCTGGTTTTCCTAGTTATTCCTGGTTTTCCTAGTTATTCCTGGTTTTCATGGTTTTCCTAATTATTTCTGGTTTTCCTAGTTATTCCTGGTTTTCATGGTTTTCCTAGTTATTCCTGGTACTTCAGCGGTGCGGCTGCTTGTGTGACGGTGCATTCAAAGTGCCTTGTCATTCGGAGAATCGCTGCGTTGCTCCAGTTTTAGAAACGGGTTCTGGTGCTGCAGCGAATGGACCCGTTATGTTTCTGTGTCTGTGCAGCTTTTCTGCATCAGTTTCAACAGATTTTGTTCCCAATCTGATGATCCTGTGTGATGCTGACGGCGTGTTGTGACTCTAAGCGAGGTGTTTGTTCGGTACGTGTGACTGAAGCCTTCGGTCGGTTCGGTTCATTTCAACTGATTTCACTTTAATGCTTTTTATGAATTTACACCAATAAACAGTTTGCATTAGAAACCTGCTTTATTTCTCATCTTTTAGTCTGGACATCAGTAAAACTGAAGAAAACAAACAGAAAAGTAGAAAAAGCATCAAAGGAAATTTGATCAAATAAAGTAAAAACATTTCACCAAAAGTTTATCAATGAAACTGAAACCATGCTCCCGCTGGTTCCTGCAGACGGATCAGAACCAGAACCTTTCCTTCATTTATCCAGCAATTTACAATCATTTTAAATAAATCTTCACTTCATTTTCTCTCTGGTTTTAAATAAGCAATAAAAATTCATCAGTGCGTCTGAAAGCTCCAGTTGCAGCTTCAGTCAGTCAGCATCGGGTCTGCCGCACCAATCAGTTTGTGATGGACGTTTTCCAGAAACGGCAGCTGTGATTGGAGGAGGTCCACCGTCATCATGGAGATGTTTTTACATCTGGACACGTCCAGCGTCTTCAGGCGTCCGCAGTGCTGCATGAGCAGGTGCAGCGTCCTGCAGGGGGTACGGCAGGCCAGGTTAGCATAAAATCAGCTTCACAACATTTACAACTGAAGCAAAAATAAATGCTAAATATTAGGTTTATATTCACTGCACAAGACTCCACTGCTGAAGGAAAATCATGATGGATTAGAACTTTGACTTTCTCCAAATGAATTTGACATTTAATTTCTATTTCTGCATTTGAATCGACATTCTGACAGGATTCATCTCTGACATGTAGAATAATTATTCTGTCAAAATGTTCCACGTTTATTTAACATTCTGAAATGGAGATGAAAGGATTTTTGGATTGCTTCGTTTTCAGCTGGTTGACAAGTTTTACCTCTTGGTAATGTTTGTCAGAAGAGAAGAAACAAGAAATTGTTTCCAGATTTTTGACACAATTTTTCAATATTTTGTTCAGGAAACCCAAAATTCTGCAGGCAGCTGTTTGGGCAGCTCAGTGGGGGGCCTGACGATAAAAGTCATAATTAATTTCTCATAAATACGTTCTAGATATTTTTGATGTAATTCCAGACACTTAAGAGAATCTGGTGCCGTGATTTCTTGAATTCTTCTCTGAAATCATCGTTCAGAACGATGATGTCACTGTCAGATAGCTGGAACCGGCCTGCCATAGAGGCAGAGCCTGCAGGAGGTCAGGGGTCATGTGAAGAGCACTGCCCCCTACCTGTCGGTGATGTTGCTGCAGCAGACGAGCTGCAGGTGCTGCAGGCGCTGCAGGAAGGGCGCGGCCCGCGCCACGCCGCCGTCGCTGATGCCGGGACAGTGGCTGAGCGCCAGGCTGGTCAGGCTGCGGCAGCTCCGACCGACCGCAGCCAGGCCGGCGTCGCTGAGCTCCGGCAGCATGCACAGCGACAGACGCTGCAGCTCCGGGAAGCAGACCACCTGGAACAGGAAACGGGAAGTACTGGCTGAAGGTCATAGGTCGCAGATCTAACTTTGTAACTGTAGAAAACAGGAATATTCTAAGGGAAAAACCACAGAGTCTGGTTCTGCTCTGTCTCAGAACCAGAACCAACATGGAGCTTCTGGAACAAACTTGCAGAAACAACGACTTCCTTGAATCCTGGCTGCATTCGTGGTGAAACTGCAGAGGAATATAATTGTGTTAATAGTTTAAAATGATGTTTGGCTCCTCTGGTTCAACCTAAAGAAATGGACGGGGTCAAATGGACAAATATGGGAGAGTTTAGCCACCTTTCAATTCTCCTATGAAAGATGCAGGAAGCAGCAAGTTATATTTTATTACCAAACTTATAAGATGAAACTGAATGTTTTGGCCAGGACTCTGGAGAAACTGGTTTTTCATTTCACTGGGATTTAAAATCAGATGAAATGTTGGTTTGGGAGATTCTAAAGTTTAAACCGATTGATTCTGGATCAGTTTAGCCTCCAGGCTGGTTTCTGTGATCATGTGACCATGCTAGCTCAACCATGCTGACCTTCCTGCTCTCCTCTCACCTGTGTGATGCTGCAGTCGGTGAGCCTGGCGCAGGCCGACAGGTCCAGCTCCTGCAACCTCTGCAGCTGCAGCAGCGATGCTCCGGCCCGTTGCTGCTGCAGCTGCTGCAGCTGGTTCAGTGTCACCAGCTTGGGGCGCTCCTCAAACGGCATGCGGGGCGGCTGGAAGAAGCCCATGTTTCCGAACGTCCGGGTGAAGCTGGGGCCGCCGTCTCCCTGAGAAACCCACAGCAGTGGTGAACAGAGGGTGCAGGGTTAGAGTGCACGCTGCAGTCCGCACGCTGCAGTCTGCACGCTGCAGTCCGCACGCTGCAGTCTGCACGCTGCAGTCCGCACGCTGCAGTCCGAATGCTGCAGTCTGCACGCTGCAGTCCGCACGCTGCAGTCCGCACGCTGCAGTCCGAATGCTGCAGTCTGCACGCTGCAGTCTGCACATGGGGTCTCACCGTCTCTTCACACGGCTCACTTCGGCTCTCCTGCGCCACACCCAGCAGACCCCAGTCGCTGACCTCCTTGCACCAGCCCAGCCGCAGCACCTGCAGCCGCTGCAGGTAGGTGGCGATGGCGCACACCGACAGATCCGTCACGTTGACGCAGGACGTCAGGTCCAGCTCCAGGAGGGAGTCCGCCAGGAGCTGCGAGAGCGACAACACCACCGCATCCTGCAGAGAGAGCGGCTGATTGGTCGGTTCCCCGCAAGAGGAAGTAGAACCTTTGACCCACTGACCCTGAGGTAGGTGCAGCTCCTCAGGTTGAGAACCCTGAGCCGGGCCCGGGTGGCGCTGGGCGGAGTCAGGCCACTGATAAGCTCCGCCCCGCTGACCTGGAGACACTCAGACAGATCCAGAGACTGGAGGGACGGCAGAGACAGCAGCTCGGCCAGACCTGATCAGAACCAATCAGAACCCATAAAGGCCGGATCAGAACCGAACCAGGCCTTCCTGGGTGACGACCTTCTGACCTCTCTCCGTGATCCTCCAGTCCCGGGACAGGGACAGCTGCGTCAGCGCCCGCAGGCTCCGCGCCGCCGCCTGCACCGAGCGGCTGCTGAGCTCCGTGCAGCCGCCGACGTCCAGCCGCCGCAGGCCGCGCTGCTGCTGCAGCAGAACCTCCACCGAGCGGTCCGTCAGCTCGCGGCAGCCCTGCAGCCGCAGCTCCTCCAGAACCAAACCGTCCACCTGCAACACACTCTGACCAGTGAGCATACTGGTTCTGCACCAGTCGGCAAACTGGAGCATGTCTGACACATAAACGTCACGTTAGTCAATCATCCTCCAAAGAAACGAAACACAGAGAAACACCAAACTATTGATTTCACTTGTTTTTGAAATTCAGAAAAATCAACATTTTTTGCTTAAAAGTCAACAACAGCATTAACGACCGATCATTATTGATTATTGGAACAATTATTGATTAATATCAAAGATGATTCATGCGAGAAGCTTATTTTTTAGGTTCTTCTTTCAGCTGTTTCTGAGTTTCTGTGCTTCAGTGATTGATTGATTGATGATTCATTCCTACATGAGTTGATGAGTAATTTCGGTGATCAGTTCATCTGGATCGATGGCTTCAGTTGATCAGGATCGGTTTAGTCTCTGGACCGGATCCCTTGGTAGTAACGGGCTCAGGCAGGTGCAGAGGGGGGGGCTTAAGGGGGTTTGACTCCTGCCCTTTTGCTCCATGACCCCAAGTGCCCTTTTTTTTTTTTTTTTTTTTTCTTACACATGTACTACATTTATTACTATTATACTATTATTATTATTACTTTGCAATAAAAACAACACAATAAGCCCTCCGTCACATTGTTACCTTGACCTTTTGCCCGTGACGCACTTGCCTCTCGCGCGTGAGACGAGGCTAACTGCGGAGCTCAAGCTAGCGACGTTCCAGATCACAAAACAGTTTTTGGTGAATTGAAAAAAAATTTTCTGGTGAAAAACACTGGAGTCGGCTTGCTACTGTCAGACATGGGAAAACGTTAAATGTTGTATCGTTTGTCCTTCAGCTCGGAGTCGCGGCTTAAGCAGAAATTAAATATAACAAGAGTTTCCTCTTGTTATATTGAAAGCTATTCTTATCTATCAATCCAGTATTTTTATCATCAGACATTATGATATGCCTCAACCTCAACCTGCTGCTCAAGAGGAATCGACCTCTGACCCACCAAGCTTCGAGAAACTACTGAACTCTGAACATTTCAGCTTTTCATGTTACAACCTTTTATATTTGTACTAAAGTTCTGATTGGTGGATTTTAAATGTTACGACTTTTAAGACTCAAAATTAAGCAGTTTAAGCAGAATGCTTTAAACTGCTGTTGTTGTTGTGCTATGAGCTAGCAGCTAGCTGCTAGCTAATGACTTTTGCTAGCAAAGCAAGATGACCAAAAAGTTTCCCTGTATTGTTAATGACAACATTATTTATGCAATAGGGGCAAATCGCCCGTCCAAAACCCATCATCTCCATAATGGATATATGTCCGATTTTCTCATTTTCTTTGGTGAATGATGTATATTGCATTTATTCTAGCGTTAGGTAAATGTATCTCGAAGGACAATTTAAATAAAAGTCCAACAAGGATATTCATTAGAATTAAAAATAACTCATCCTGAACTACCACGATGGATATAATGTATGTAATAATCAATAATCTGTCCAATAAAGCATGTCATTAATGAAGGGCAAACAAACTTTATTTGCACACATCAGAAATCTTTGGTTTTGATTTTAGGCTCTCCCCAGATGTCATGTGAAAACCGCAAGCAAAACTTTGAATAGCAAGCAAAGATTTTCTGACATGCGCAATAAGCTTGTTTGTTTTGCAAATATTTTTTAAGTCATGAGATAAAAATCTGTGATTTCAGTTTTTTAAAAAAATAAGCTAAACATTTTTGTTGAAAAAAATGTTACAATTTAAAATGTCTTGATCACATTTTATATTATTTAATTGAGGTTAGTATTTGAATTGAATTGTGAAACAAATTAAACTCCATAGGAGAGGTCTCATTTTCTCAAATTATATTGTTATGCTATGGACTGAAAAACATATTGGTTTAAACACAAGGGTAAAGAATTGGTAGTGTGGTTTATTATAGTGTTCTGATCATAATTCTTTGTTTGCTTTTTTCAGTTCAAAGACGCCACGTAAAGAGAGACGTCAGAAACAAAAAGAAAGGATCTGCTAGAAGCAGTGAAAGGGTCAACAATCATTCACAGAGAGGTTATCAACATATTTCAAGACATGACCAACAGAAAACTGCTGCTGTGAACAAAAATAGCAAAAAATGCTTAAAAGTTTGAAATTTGTTTTTAAACAGTTAAAAGGCAAGAGACTGAAATAAATAAGACTTCACTCAACACAGAAGATGAGACAATGAGGAAAAAAAGAAAAGGAAAGATTGAGGAAAATGTACATAGGTACTTACAAAATACACTAAAACACAATTAGAGTAGTCTTTCTCATAGTGTCATGCATTAAGTAAATCTTTGTTTTTGTTTTTTCCTGCAGTTCCACTTAAAGTTTGATGCAGCTGTTTTCTGAATGGATCGTCTTCATCTCCACTGCAGCAACCCAAGCAGATGTTTCTTTGATTGTATGTCTCACAATTTTGTAATCTATCATTGTTAATTAAACTCTGAAAGCTGTGTGACTTTGTTAATATTCTGTCCTAAAATGAGATTAGAAGTGCCTTTTTTTTTTTTTTTTTTTTTTGAGCACCTGCCCCTTTAGTGGTCTCTGCACGGCCCTTTACGGGCTCTTCGGAGCCGACCCCTGACCTGCCCCCTGACCCCAGGCTCACCTGACGATGACCCGCAGAGACTCTGGCGTGACGGCGGTCCTGCTGAGGTCCAGCTCCCGCAGCGTGGCGCGCTGCTCCACCAGCAGGCGCCGCAGGTTGCGCAGCGACAGCAGGGCGGATGAATCCTCCCCGGCGCCGGTCGGCCGGCCGCCGTACGGGTCGAACTCGAAGGCGATGTGGCAGCCGGCCAGCGCCAGGCGGCGCAGGCGCGGCGTGCAGCCGGTCAGCCGGGTGAAGGTGAGGTCGGACAGGTAGCGCAGGTCGGACAGGTCCAGCTCCTCCAGGCCGCTCAGAGCCGAGCGGACCTGCAGCAGAACCGGGACAGGAAACCCAAACATCAAGAGTCTGAAAAGCGTTCAGATGAGTTTGAAATGTTGTTCCTGCTGCTTATTGATATTTATTCTGACTGCAGAAACATCTGCTGTGCATTTTTATCAGGTTTTTAATCTGTAAAATGAGGGAGATGAAGAGCTGCAGTTAGCGGCTCCAGCCAGCAGGGGCGCCACAGAGCAGACAGCTTCAAGTCTCCAAAGCAGAAGAAATAATGTATTTCATTCAAAGCATAAATAAATATTTAAATATGAAGCAGAGACGGTAAAACCAGACTGATGCTGAAATTGAAAGTATGAAACAGAAATATTTATTTTAACATGTTAAAGATAAATAAAATGTTTTAAATGAATATAAAATATTCTACTCTGTTCCTGTTATATTTTCTGACTCTGCACTTAATACAGTCAACATAAAATAATGTTAAAATTTAAGGATTCAACATATTATGAAAGATGAAGTATAAAATGTAGCCTTCATGTTGTGGAGACAAATCTGGTTTTAAGAAAACTGTCATTTATCAATCAATCACCAAAGATTGATAAATTTAGATTAACTTATAATCAATAACTGCTTTGATTTTAGGTTGGATTATTTATACCTGCTGCTCAGGGCAACATGGAACCTAAATGTGGTGAAAAGTTTAACAAACCAAACTTTAATAATCCTAACCCTTAAAATGTTGAATACCTGAATTTAGTGCTAATGTAAAATGTTTCTGTATTTGCATAAAAGTGTTCTGATGTCAGACGACGAAACTTCATTTCTCATGTCGAATTTAGCTTTATTTTTTAACATCAACTTTATTCATATTTTGTATGGTTTCAAACTGCACAGAGTTCAGCAGCTGTAACCGTTGGGAGGCGCTGGGGGCGTGGCCAGACGACCTCCAACATGGCCTCCAACATAGCCGCCGTACCTGCCGCCGGTGCTCCTCCCTGGACAGGAAGGCTCCGGACATGAAGAGGCTGTCCAGGCCGCGCAGGTCGAGGCGGCGCAGCGCGGTGAGGCGCGGCAGCAGCGCCAGCAGCGACGCCTCCGTGATGCTTGCTGCCGGGCAGCGCCAGGCCCTCCAACCGCGGGCCTAGACACTCGCCCACCTGAGGAAGAGCAGCGAGGAAGAGCAGCGAGGAAGAGAGACACCTTCACACACAGGAGGATTGAACTGAGCCAAGAAAAACAGGTCAGAGGTCAAGGGAAGGTGGCAGAACTGAGCATGCTGACTCGGATATTATGGGCACAAATGGGGCCCAACAGATAATTTGGTTATTAAATTTGTTCAGTTGAGCCCAGAAACGGTGAAACCAGATTTAACATCATCAGAAGATTGATCTTTAACCTCATCAGTCCAACTGCAGGTTTTACAGCAGGTGGATCATACCAGCCGTTGATAGGTGGGTCAGCCGCTCAGCCTGGGGTCAGAGGTCGCCTGGCAGCGAGACCAGCAGGTATTACCTGCAGCAGCAGCGACCTGGAGACGCTGAATCCGTCCAGCTGGCTGATCCTCAGGCTGCAGCGCCGCCGCCGGGCCAGGCTGCCCACCAACGCCAGCGCCGCCGCCGAGGCCGGGAAGCTGAAGGTCACGTCCTTCTGCACACAGACAGCAGCGGTTAGAGGAGGCCGCAGCTTCCCACTTCACCTGCAGGGGCGGGGTCACCTGGAAGGCCAGGTCCTGGCTGGCAGCGTACCAGCTGCGGCACACCAGCGACGCTTCCTTCCTGTCTGCGAAGTGGAGAAAACTCAGGACGTAAACTAGAACCTGCAGCGGCACACAGATGGATTTATCGCCTTCAGACCAGGGAACTAAATTAGCTCCAGTGCTAACCTGGAGCTAATTTAGCTCCAGTGCAAACCTGGAGCTAATTTAGCTCCAGTGCTAACCTGGAGCTAATTTAGCTCCAGTGCTAACCTGGAGCTAAATTAGCTCCAGTGCTAACCTGGAGCTAATTTAGCTCCAGTGCTAACCTGGACCTAATTTAGCTCCAGTGCTAACCTGGAACTAAATTAGCTCCAGTGCTAATCTGGAGCTAATTTGGCTACAGTGCTAACCTGGAGCTAATTTAGCTCCAGTGCTAACCTGGAACTAAATTAGCTCCAGTGCTAACCTGGAACTAAATTAGCTCCAGTGCTAACCTGGAGCTAATTTAGGAAGCAACATCTGCTCTGGTCCCAAATATGTAAACATTGAGAGCTTCCTGTTTCCTGAACACATCGTCCCTACGGTGAAACACGGTGGCGGCAGCGTCATGCTGTGGGCAAACTGTTCTTTATTCCCTCTGGTTCTGGATGCTGAGCAGCTGGAAGGAGTTTTCTCCTTTAGGACAATTGTCATAAAGTAACCATGGCAACAAGATATGGTTTCACAACTGGGAGCAGCTGATTAGCGTCTCAAAACTCAAATAGAATGTGAACTTTGACCCCAAATCCCAGAGGAGTAGAAAAGGAGGCTACACGTCCTCTGACTGTAACCCAGGCAGAGGTTTAAAGGGCAGCAGCTAACGCAAAGGAGCTGGATTAGCAGAGGTGCTAATAGCTGATGACATCATCACGTTGCTGTGGAATGTGTCTCTGCTGCCGAGTCGTTAGCATGTTAGCATGAGACTGTCCAACAGCAGCCTTCAGTCAGAGGCGTATTCAGATTCACTGGAAGACTGACTGCTACTGGAGCTCCTTCCTGCACACAGCTGCGCAGTGTGTCACGGTCAGGTTAGGGTCAGGGTCAGGGTTAGGGTCAGGCACCCTGACCCTAACCACTCATATCATCTAACGTTACATTTCTTTCATTTGGGATGAATACATGATTTCTGAGCTGCAGGTGGAAACTGGTCACTGTTACCTGAATGGACTCACCTCCAGCGGAAGCTCGGTGTGACGTCACTCTCCTCCACCGTCTCCATGTTAGCAAACTCACATCACCGCTTTTCTCTGACTTCTGCTCTGAAGATAGTTCCCTCAGACAGCAGGAATCATGGCAGCTCCTCTCATGGTTTAACTAAGCCTTCCGGTTTCCACCTGACGTCACAATAACAGCTGAGTTTCACCTTTAGCCGCAAGAAGCCGCTTCGCCTCGCTTTGGTCAGCTGACCACAAAGAGGCGGGGCTTCGCGCCACGTGAGGGAATCTCTTCTGTGATTGGCGGAGCTGATCCGCCGACGTCATGTATGGCAGGCCGTTTTATCATAAAATCTGAGCGTACCACCTTCCTGAAATAAAGAAACTGCGTACGGTAACTAGTTTCATATTTTGAAAGTAATTAAATGCAGATTTCTGTAAAGGGAACCTTCACAGAGAACATTATTTAATTTCATTATAAGACTTCTAATAACAGAAATGAATAGAAACTGGTTGTCAGCGCAATAGTTTATGTGCAATTACAGTTCACAAATAAAGCAAACATATTGACAGCAGCAATATCAGAATGCTCTAATATCTCAGGATATGCAGCTTATTGTATAATTAAGCAAATATGTTTCATCTAAAATTCTGAGTGAAACATTTATATAAAATGAAAATAAGCCATTAAAAGTAAAAACGTAGAAAAAATATTGAGACAATAATCAGAAAGATTGATGATAGTTATTTTCACAGATCATTTTACAGAATAAAATGCAATGTTGACATCACTGATATTATGATTGTTGTAGTTTCACTAGAGGAGTGTCTCAGGTTGGGCTAGAGCTGCAGCAGTGATTCTACTCATAAGGCCAGTTATTACTTTAGTAAACTTGTCATAAACAACAACAAAACAAAGATCAGTCTTTCATTTCTGGAGAACTAGGAAGTTCTGACCCAACTATGACAAGAGCTTCATCACCTCTCCATCTTCCCTCCTCCTCCTCCATCCCACTCATCCTCACTCTCATCCCATCCCGCAGCGCCGTGCTGCAGCTGCGCAGGAGGAAAATCTGCAGGGTTGCAGTTCCCAGAAGCTGAGCGAAGCGTCATGGAGCTGGCAGAGGGGGACGTGTCCGGGTCCGGTCCGGGGCTGAGGACGGGGTCCGGAGGACGCAGCGAGACAGAGGGGGACCGCTGGAGGAGACGGCGGACAGGAAAGTTACAGGAAGTCCATCACTAGCATGCTTCATGCTCGTTTCCAGCAGCTCTGAACATAACTTTCCTCACACGTTCTCTGCTGAATTCAAGTCTGGGCTTTGACTAGGCCATTCTAATCCATGAAAATGCTCCAATATAAACCATACATCGTAGCTCTGGCTGCAAACCTTCCCAGCTCTGCTCTACTTTGTGTTCCATAAATCCCAATGAAACAGTTAAACATAGTTACTGGAAGAGACCGTCAGCTAGCGGAGAGCTAACTAGCAGGTGGATCTGCTGTTTACCTGCAGTGAGATGCTGGACTTGCTGCTCCTCTCTTTGACCCGAGCCAGAGCTCCTTTCAGCCCAGACGACCTCTCCGTCATCTGCAGAGCCGCTCGCAGCAGCCTGGGCGTCTCGGGCCTGAGAGACGCCGCCGGTACCGGAGCCGGTTCCTTAGCTTCTGCTTTGGGTTCAGGCTTTTTGCCCTTATTGAGCATCTTCCTGTGGGGAAAAGGCGTCACAGAAAGAGGTGAAGCAGGAATGCAGCAGGCGTCGGAAGACAATCTGGATGCTAACCTGGCCTTCTTGCGCAGCAGCTTCTTGGACTCGGGGTAGTGGACCAGGATCTCGTTCAGGTCTTTCTTGTCCAGGATGAACAGGTTGGCGAAGCCGTGAGCGATCACGTTGGCCGTGCGCCGGTTGACTCCGCCCACCGCTAGCAAACTGAGAACCAGACAGTTTGATGATGACGACGGCCCATCAGAAACTCAGGAAGCTGGTCCAAACAGGAGGAAGTGACGGAGATTTGGTGGAAGCTCCAGCCTGTCAGGCTGCGTTCAGGGCAACGAAAGAACTAAACACAATCTGAACGCTGCCACATCTGGCAAGTTAATCCAACTCTCTGCAGGTTGTTTCCTGCTTCTTATTATTGAAGGTTTTTACTTTTCCACTTGTCCTCATTAGGAAGCTCAGGTCAGAGGAATTAAAGATATAAACTAAAATAAATAAAGAACTCCTCCAACATCCCAAGCAGAACCGGGTCAGCTTCAGTCCGACTCCACGCAGAAACATTCGTCAGAGTCACTCTGACTACATTCTGATTTGATGGTTTTATGAAACCTTGCAGATTTTTGTACCTTATCTCTCCAAACACGGATCCTGCTCTCAGCGTAGCGAACACCGTCCTCTCATCAGGACCTCCAACCACCTGCACCTCCCCTGCTTTGATGATGTACATCTCCCGACCCACTTCTCCCTGGGGGGCAGGAAGCAAGCACACGGTCAGACATGACGCTAGCTGCTCATGCTAGCTTTCGGAGGGGAGGTTTACCTTCTTGCAGACGTAATCTCCAGGCAGGTAGACGACCGAGCGCAGACTCTTCAGCATGTCAAAGATCATCTGTCTGTCACAGCCCTGGGAAGCAGGAAGACACTTTGGTTCTTCACACCAGCATGAGCAGACCCAGCTTAACACCCGGCAGGCGACTTTAGCGTTTCCTCACCTGGAACAGAGGGACTTTGCTCACGATGGAGTAGTTGACGTCCACAGCGATGTCCAGACGCATTTTATCTGGCAGCTGGGTCAGAAGCTCCTGCTCATCTGGAGGCAAACATACAGATGTGAAGCATCAACAGCAGCTCAGGTCACCAACCACCAACAGATGGCGCTCTCCTTACCCAGCATGCCTTGTGACTGCCAGGTGTAGTTGTACCAGGTCTTGACGCGGTTCTGAACGTCTTTGGGTATGCGGTAGGATGTCATGTATTTGATGGTGTTGTCCATGCAGGTGCGGTAGTAAGTCTGAGCCGCGGTGGCCGCACCGACAACGTCACGCATCTGACATACAATGACACAGAAGCAAGGCAGCAGTTGCTGGTTTGACACCTGGAGTGCAGCTAAACGGCCACACCTACCTGGCCAATCATGATGGAGAAGGCGAAGACTCCAACGAAGTAGTTGATGAGCTGGAAGACGATCTCAAACAGGGAGGTGGGATCCGGCAGGCCGCCGATGGTGATCAGAGTTTTCACCGCAAAGTAGTAACAGCGAATATAACTGAGGGAAGGAGAAGGAGAAGAAGAAGAGCGTCAGAACGGAAAACGCAAATATTTACTAGCTGGATATTTAGCTAAAATTTTTAGCAAGGAGCTAGCTAAATATTATGTTTATAAGCTAAGTGTTTAGCTAGCTCAGAGCTAACTAGTTTGGAGCTAAATCATTAGCTGGCTGACTAAATATTATGTACCGAAAATGTGGTTTACCATCAAGGTTAAATATTTAGCTTAATGCTAAATATTTAATTCGTAAGCTAAACATTTAGCTACCAAATATTTAGTTCCAATCAAAAATACTTAGTTGACATAGGAAATATTTAACTGGCTTGCTAACTAAGTATTTAGCTTTCTAAGAGCTAACTAATTTGGAGCTAAATAGTTACCTTTATCAATAAATTTTTATGGAGCTAATTATTAGTTTACCACCTAAATAATTACCAACTTATATAAATATTAACCCAAAAGATTTAGTTTGGAAGCTCATTTTCAGCTCCAAACTGCATGTTGACCTCTGAGCTAGCTCAACATTTAGTTTGCAAAGTATGACCTTCCCCGACCTGTTGCCGACCCCGTTGTAGACCCACTGCGTGGCCCCCAGTCCGATGTAGGAGGACGCCCAGTGGTAGAGGCAGGCGTTGCAGTGAAGACAGTAGAGAAGATACGTGGTGGTTCGGATCACCCTGAACACAGAACCACCTTCCATTTTACTAACACACTCATGAAAGTGCGTCTCCCAGCATGCATTGTGCCAGACGTCACGACTGAGTTTGTGAGAAGTTTTCTGCTGCCTTGATGAGAGACAGAGATGTTTATGGGTATTGCCCCGATTCACCTGAAGAGACCCTAACTGTATGAATAATAAATCATTATTATTAAAGAGATGAACCAAATATTAATGCCAGTTTTGCTTCACAGCAGCAAGATGGATCTCACGAGCTGGTACTTCGATCTGTCTTCATTTGTTTTGCAGCTGGGAGAGCGTTTCCCGAGGCTGACCTGTAGATGTAGGCTTTGGTCAGGATGGCCTCCAGTCGCTCATTAAACTCAAAGAACGAGTTGATCTGCAGAGACAACGGAAACCTCTCAGCTTCGCTTCTGATGTTTAGAGAAGAGGGTTAGGGTTCAGCAGCCGACCTTCAGCAGGCGAGGTAACCGCAGCAGAGGATTGATGCCCGTCTTAAAGTACAGCAGCTCCAAAGGGACGAGGCTGACCACGTCGAACTGCAAACCAATCAGGAGTCAGGAAGCATTCAGAAAAAATTCACAGAAAAACAATAAAATTGTCCCTTCTGGTCCCGATCTGTTACCTTAAAGCGTTTGGTTTTCATGTAATTCTTTCTCATTTCCTTCTTGTCACACTGTCACAATAAAACAAAATGAGGAATCAGAGAAATGAGACATTGCTCGTTGTGGAACTGCACAGAAATCACATAATCTCAGATTATTCTCAAATTGTTCCCAGATTATCTCTGATTATTGCCTCACCACGATGTCTCCTCCACGAACGAACTGCAGGCGCGGCTGAAACACGGCGATGTCCAGAATGTAGATGAGGTCGCAGGCATAGTCGGCCAGCAGCCAGTAGGGGGCGTTTTGGGGCGTCTGGTAGGGGAACGCCCAGCGGACCGGGATCAGCCACACGTTCCAGTTCCAGGCCGCAGAAACCAGGAACATCCACAGAAGGTACAGGATGTCTGGGCACAGATTACAGAGGCGCAGGATGAAGAGGAGGAGGAGGAGGAGCAGGCGGTGGCAGCAGGTACTGCGGGATTCTCACTGGTGAAAGGGTCGATGCTGGCGGGGAATCGGATTGGCCAGCAGGCCCGGATGCACCGAGTCTCCTTTCGCCCAGATGCCGCTCCGCTTCCTGCCCCGCTTCCTGCCCCGCAGACAAACTGACCTCCTGACCTGCCTTCCTCCTCCTCCTCCTCCTCACCGTGGGGGGCGGATGCAGGCTGAGGGGGAGCTGAGGAAGAAACAGAGAAACATCATCAGGCAGAGAAACGGAACTGACTGGACCCGACCGGAACTGGGTTCTACTGGTAGGTAGATGGCAGGCAGTGGAGGAA